AGTGCGTCGCCCCGTTCATTCCTCTCTGTCTCGGAGGGCGCGGAAGGGTGCGTGTGTCGTCCCCGGGCTACGCCAATCCCTTCCCCCTCTGTCGCCAGACCCCCGGCAGAACAGACCCCCGTGGAACGCTCTGCCTTCCCTGGTCTCTTCTGTCGGGGAGCGGGTTTCGACGGTGCATCCGGACGGGGTAACTCCTGCACGCATGCCGGTCGACCCGCCTCGCTGCCCCTCCGGGGGGACGTCTGTGGTTCGCATGACCCCGTTGGCTCACTTCCTGGAAGCCTGGCTAGCGCTTCCCGGGGTTCCCGCTGGGTCATCAGAACGATCGGATTCGGCTACGCGATTCAGTTCGCACGGTCTCTTCCCCGCTTCAGGGGAGTTCGCTCCACGATGGTTGGTGGCAATGCCCCAGTCTTGAGAGCGGAGATTGCGACCCTGCTGGCGAAGGGTGCAATCGAGACGGTCCCTCCAGCCGAGGTGAGGTCCGGGCTTTACAGCCCCTACTTCATTGTCCCCAAGAAAGACCGGTGGGTTACGACCGATCCTGGACCTGCGCATTTTGAACCGTTCTCTCCATCGACTACCGTTCAAAATGCTCACGGCCAAACGCATTTTCGAATGTGTTCGGTATCAGGATTGGTTTGCAGCGATCGACCTGAAGGACGCGTACTTCCATGTCTCCATTCTCCCTCGACACAGACCGTTTCTTCGGTTTGCCTTCGAGGGCCAGGCATACCAGTACGCCGTTCTCCCATTCGGGTTAGCTCTGTCCCCTCGCGTCTTCACGAAGATCGTCGAGGCAGCCCTTGTTCCCCTTCGCGAACACGGGGTTCGCATCCTGAACTATCTCGACGACTGGCTGTTACTAGCACACTCTCGAGCTCAGGTTTGCGAACACAGAGACCTGGTGCTACGGCACCTAGCCCGTCTGGGCCTTCGGGTCAACCGGGAAAAGAGCAAACTTTGCCCCGTGCAGAGGATCTCTTTTCTCGGCATGGAGATAGACTCGGTCGCCATGTCCGCGCAGCTCACGAACGAGCGCGCGCACTCACTGCTGGCTTGTCTTCGACAGTTCGAGGGCAAGAGTGCGGTTCCACTGAAACTTTTCAGAGGCTCCTGGGGCATATGGCATCCGCGGCCGCGGCAACGCCGCTCGGTTTGCTTCATATGAGACCGCTTCAGCTGTGGCTTCGCGATCGAGTCCCGAGGTGGGCATGGCATCGCGGCTCGCTCCGAGTTCCAGTGACTCCGACGTGCCGCCGATCCTTCTTCCCGTGGTCGAACCTCAGCTTTTTACGGACAGGGTCCCTATTCAGCGAGTTTCCAGGCATCTCGTTGTCTCCACGGATGCGTCTACCACGGGTTGGGGTGCCATGTGCAATGGGCATGCAGCCGCCGGTTCCTGGACAGGAGCCCAGCGCCTCATGCACATCAATTGCCTCGAGCTGTTGGCAGTACGGCTCGCCCGGCACCGCTTCCGAGCGTGCTCTAGGGCCAGCATGTGCTTGTCCGCTCAGACAACACTACGGCAGTAGCGTACATCAACCACCAGGGGGGGTCTACGCTCGCGCCGGTTGTCGCAGCTCGCCCGCCACCTCTTGATATGGAGTCAGAAGCACCTGAGGTCCCTTCGTGCAGTTACATTCCTGGAGACCGGAATCGGGCAGCCGCGAGCTGTCCCGGGCCCGTCCCATCTCCGGCGAATGGCGACTCCATCCCCAGTCGGTCCAGCTGATTTGGGACCAGTTCGGGGAGGCACAGTTAGACCTGTTCGCCTCTCGGGACTCGTCCCACTGCGCCCAGTTATTCTCTGACCCGCGGCTCTCTCGGCTCGGATGCGCTGGCGCACAGCTGGCCACGGGGCCCACGCAAGTGTGCGTTCCCCCAGTGAGCCTCCTTGCACGGGTGTTGTGCAAGATCAAGGAGGACGAGGAGCAGGTCTTGCTGGTAGCCCCCTACTGGCCCACCAAGACGTGGTTCTCCGAACTCTTGCTCCTCGCGACAGCACCTCCTTGGCCTATTCCTCTGAGACCGGACCTACTCTCTCAGAGACGGGGCACTCTGTGGCACCCTCGTCCCGATCTTGGAGGCTGCACGTGTGGCTCCAGGACGGGACGAGGCAGGTTTGAGTTCGCTGCCACCTGCGGTGGCGGCAACCATCACTTCCGCAAGAGCGTCGTCCACGTGACACCTTTATGCGTTGAAGTGAAACCTCTTCGTCAATTGGTGTTCTTCTCGCTGAGAAGACCCCCGGAGATGTTCGATCGGAGTCATGCTTCCTTCCTGCAAGAGGGGTTGGAGCGCAGGCTGTCGCCCTCCACCCTTTGGATTATGTCGCGGCCATTGCCGCGTCTCATGATGCAGTGAAAGGTAAGTCTATGGGAAGCATGACCTGGTCATCAGGTTCCTGAGGGGAGTGAGGGGGCTAAATCCGCCTCCCTCCCCTCCTGCCCTCTGGGGACCTCTCAGTAGACCTGGGTGCTCTGCAGAGGCCTCCCCTGGAGCCTTTGCAGTCGGTAGAGTTTTTGCCCTGTCCTATGTGACAGCACTCCTGATTGCATTGGTATCCATCAGGAGAGTAAGGGACCTGCACGCACTCTCTGTTGACGAAGTGTGCCTGGAGTTCGGGCCGGCTTACTCTCACGTATTCCTGAGACCCCGGCCTGGATATATGCCCAAGGTTCCTACCACTCCCCTCCGGGACCTGGTGGTGAACCTGCAAGCGCTGCCCCTGGAGGAGGCAGACCCAGCCTTGGCACTGCTCTGTCCGGTACGTGCTCTCCGCACCTATGTCGACAGAACGCAGTGTTTCAGGACCTCAGACCAGCTCTTTGTCTGTCATGGGGGGAGCCAGAAGGGAAGGGCTCTCTCAAAGCAACGGCTGTCCCACTGGATAGTGGATGCCATTGCTTTGTCTTACCAGCAGCAAGGCCTTCCGTGCCCCCTTGGTGTGACGGCCCATTCCACTCGGAGTGTAGCCTCCTCTTGGGCTTTAGCGCACGGCGCCTCGCTAACAGACATCTGCAGAGCTGCAGGCTGGGCGACACCCAACACCTTCGCCAGATTCTATAATCTGCGAATTGAGCCGGTATCCTCTCACGTACTCGTTTCGGCCAGTTCTGGATCCGCTCAGGTGTCTTCGCTTGCTCGCCACTCCACTCCCCGGACTGGATAAGTGCGATATTTCCTCAGTTCTTCCATTGAAGTCTTGAGTCCTCCAGCACCGACGATGCGGGCACCACTGCGTTGCTCTGGATGCTAGCTAGGTGCCTCCATGCGCACGGTTCCCCATGGTAACCGTCTCATGTGTATTATCCACTGTAAGCCTCTCTGAGCATGTGTCTTCCCTTGGCAAGCCATCTGCCACCCCTGGAGTTTAAATCAGTAGCCACCTGCGGTTGGTACTCCAGTGTTCCATATGCGTTCCTATGTGGCCATATGTGTATTCTTAAGTCCTCCCTTCGGTAGGCAGCTGGTAGCATGTCCCCTTCGGGATATGTTCCCAGTGTACCTTGGTAATCCTGTGTCAAAGTCGGATCCCCAAAAAAAAAAAAAAAAAAAGAGGTAAGGCTCGGGGGTTCAGTCTTTCGCAGGGCACTGGAAGACAGCTTGAAGATGGCGTGATGGCACAGACCCCCAATCTCCGTCACTTCTGACGTAACTCGAAGTGACTACGATAGGGAACGTCTCGGTTACGTATGTAACCCTCGTTCCCTGAGTAGGGAACGGAGACGTTACGTCTCCCTGCCACTTCTGCTGTATCGCTGGGTAGAGGCCGAGTTCAGTCTTGGCTCCTCAGCGAAGACATACTGCGGTTGCGTTCACTTCCTCCTTTTATACTCACGGAGTAGGGCGGAGTACGCTATGCAAATTTCCGCAGCCCCAAGGCATTGCATGCCATTGGCTCGTGTTTTAATACTCGAAGAGGATTGGCTTTCTATGCGAAACCCCCAATCTCCGTCACTTCTGACGTAACGTCTCCGTTCCCTACTCAGGGAACGAGGGTTACATACGTAACCGAGACGTTAGCCTTACACTGAACCCAACAAAACGTCAGCTTCTTGATCAAATATGAATGAATCTGCCTGTGTAAGCTCCCCTGACTGTGACTCAACAACGTCAGACAATATGAATATGCACAGCGTTACGTCTAAAGCATCTGGAACAGTAGAAGAGCCCGGTTCAAGTCAGAACACAATAGACTGCGTAGTTGTTAATGCATACCATAAAAGAGATGGTGGTAGAGTGTATAACAAGAGACATTACTGCTTGTATTGCTCCAAACCTTACGCTAAGATGGCAAGGCATCTAGAAAGTTCACATGCAAATACATCTGATGTGGCTAGAGCTCTAAGCTTTCCAAAATGTTCAAAGGAGAGAAAAAAACAGTTGGATTATATTCGCAACAAAGGGAACTATGCCCACAATGCTGCGGTTATGGAATCAGGAAAGGGGGAACTGGTGCCATTTAAACGACCACCTAAAAAAGCACTGGGAGAGGATTTCATGCATTGTGCATACTGTCAAGGACTTTTTACGAGAAAGGTCCTTTGGCGACATATGCGTTCTTGCAGACTTAAACCTCAGTCAGTCCCCCCCAAACCAGGAAAAAACCGTGTTCAGTCCATGTGTACATACACGGGGCCTGTGCCTTCAAACATGACCAAACAACTGTGGGGAGTAATCAGTGCCATGAATCCTGACCCAATCACAGATATTATAAAAAATGACAAAGTAACTACTGAAATTGGGCAGCACTTGTTGAACAAAGGAGGGATATCAGCCAAAAATCAACAGTATGTGCGGGAGAAGATGCGAGAATTGGGACGGTTGATTCACAAGGCGAGGAGAGTCACCTCGTTAAAAACGATGGAAGATTGTGTAAATCCAAAGAAGTACATGGAGACTGTCAAAGCTGTGAAGTATACGTGTGGGTATGACAGTGAAACAGACAAGTTCATGATTCCATCGCTTGCAAATAAGCTTGGGAATTTCCTGGTTAAAGTGAGCAAACTCTTAAAAGCTCAGGGATTAATCTCAAATGACAAACAGCTTGTTAAGAATGCCAGTGAGTTTCTAGAAGTCCATCAGAACAAGTGGAACGAGTTGATCTCGGCTACAGCATTGAGGAACATCAGTGAAGCAAAGTGGAATGTGCCCACTATCATGCCCTTTACTGAAGACGTCCAGAAAATGCACACACATCTCAGTGAAGTGCAAGAGAAGTGGTTCAAAACACTCTCTGAAAGTCCCTCTACTAAAACCTGGATGGAGCTGGCAAAGGTGTGTCTAGCCCAGATGATTCTCTTTAACCGCCGCAGGGAAGGAGAGGTTTTGAGTATGCCTTTGTCTGCATTTCTTTCAAGAGACACTTCTTATCCACATGAGGATGTGGACTGGGCACTTTCTGAAGTGGAAAAAAAAACTCTGCAGACACTTCACAAGGGTTATCACAAGAGGAAAGCGTGGTCGACCAGTTCCAATTCTTCTGACTCCAAAAATGCTATGTGCCTTAGAACTCCTTGTTAAGCAGAGAGAGGTTTGTGGGGTTCTGAAAGACAATCCCTATATGTTTGCAAGACCAGAAGCCATGACACATTTTCGAGGGTCAGACTGCCTCCGTGGCTTTGCTAAGGTGTGTGGCGCAAAGTGTCCCAAGTCACTGACATCTACAAGACTGCGAAAGCATGCCGCAACGCTTTCAACAGTGCTGAATATGACTGACACCGAGATGGACCAGCTGGCAAACTTCCTTGGACACGACATAAGAATCCATCGTGAGTTCTATCGACTCCCTGAGAAGACCTTGCAACTTGCCAAGATCAGCAAAGTTCTAATGGCACTTGAACAAGGAAGATTAGCTGAGTTCCATGGCAAGAACTTGGATGAAATTGGGATAGATCCTGATGGTGTGGTATTTTATTTGACGTTTGTTTGATTTTTCTGTTTACCATCTATTTACGATCTATTATATGCCATTAAGCTTTACTTTGAACTTCCACAGAAAAAGTTCTTAACTCTGATGAGGAAGACGAGAGCATAACAGAGGGACTCTGTTCATCTACTGTTGACGTTTTGTATTACTTTCAAAATACACTCCTAGATTTTGCAGTTATTCATAGGTTTCAGTCACTTTACTTGTGAAGACCTGACATGCAAAAACAATGTTCTAACATCAAAGCCAACATTAAAGAAGATTCTTCAGTATGCTGAACAAAAGCTTTTTTCTTTTTTTATTAACGAAACTGCTCATTGTGTAATGAATCAAATGCCTCCAAGCTATTCTTCAAAATGTCTTGCACTAAACATTTATTTTGGAGTGAATATTTTTTGTGGACTTTACTACCATAAAAATTATGTTTCATAAGAGAAACGTGCACATTTTTCGTAAAATGCTAGCTGATCCGTTCTCTTCTCGTGTTTGTTGTGTTATGGCACTAAATGAACCATGTCAGATTATCAAGTAATTAACCATTTTATTTCATGTCTTAGTTTGCTTGAGCTTATGTTTGATTAAATGTCTGCTGGAAAGATGCAGTTCAATTATACTTGCAATAATGAAAAATTACACAGGTTTAAGAGTTTATTGTACTTTAATGATTTAAAATAATCAGTGCATAAGTGTGACTAAACACATTGTGTATTGTCTGTTGGAAAATTTTCCTTCGAACCAACAGACATTGGGATATCTTTCAAGCAGGATTCTTTACTGAGAACTCACTGTCCTGTTTATATACCTTTCAAGGGGGAGGGATTTACATAGAGGTGGAGACACTCTGAAACAAAGCATGTAAATGAAGTACGGAAGTCAGTTCATTACTAGAAATTCCCCATCCCTGATCTCATTAGCATAACAGTGTCATTCAGATACATGGGTGATAATCCATTCAGCCTGACTATTCAACGACTGGAACGGGCTCCTAGAGCCATTTAAAGACGGTCTCAGTAATTTGACTTGTTTAACCTACAATAGAGAAACAGGACTGGCAGGAATCTTTGGCTGGAAACTCTTGAGGAAACTCAATTGTCAGCATTTTATAGTAAATTTTAAAATGTATATCTTTCTGAAAACATTGAACTTTGATTATTTTCCATAGAACCATCTTCAGAGGTGGCACTTCCTCCTACCGAGAGGAGTGACATGCCGCCACCACCCAAGAGACGCAGACTACCAGCAGATGAAGAGATGCCTACAGAAGCCAGTGCTGTGAGGCCTTCTTCCAAAGGTGAAATCTTTACACGTTTCTAAAACTAAATTAGACAATTTAGGAGCACTTTGATACCCAGATTTCAGACCAGATCACTAAATGCTGATTTTGTTTTTTTGCCATTTCCTGTTTTCTGCCATTTTGAGACGTTTCCGCCAAATCTTTAGTGATTTGAAAACTTGCAACTTAATTGTTCCTCTACACCAGTCCTTAGGTCTTTACACTGGCTCCCAGTTACATTTAGGATTGATTTTAAAGTATTATCACTGTTATATAAATCATTTAATGGGTTAGGACCTCAATATATTGCAGATATGCTCACTGAATATAAACCCAACAGATCACTCAGATCATTAGGATCACATCAGCTAGAAATACCAAGGGTTCACTCTAAGCATGGAGAGTCTGCTTTTAGCTATTATGCTGAACCAGCTTCCAGAAGAGATCAGGTGTGCTCCTACAGTAGTCACATTCAAATCCAGACTCAAAACACATCTGTTTAGCTGTGCATTTACTGAATGAGCACTGTGCCACTGTTCGTACGACTGTTACTGTATTTTATTTAATGTTCTTATTCTAAACTGTTTTAATTATTTACTGTATTTTATTTTTTTATTCTAAATTGTTTTAATTATTCTGATTTATTTTGATTATTTTTATTTCTTCTATGCAAAGCACTTTGAGTTACCATTGTGTATGAAATGTGCTATATAAAAAAACTTGCCTTGCACATGAATTTCAATATCATAATGCTCAGGAACCCTTCTGTAGTTTAGTTGTCTTTGGCGGTGAGAAGTTGAAATCAGGTCAACTTTTATGGTAATGAGCTATGACGTGGTTCTGCGGCACCCAATTGTAATGTAGAAGTGCTCTGCTTTAGAGGATTCCAGAGAATGCAGTCAAGTAACTTTGGTTCCGTCCACATTATTTCCCAAGCACAATAGGAGAGATTGATCATTTGAATTTGATAAGAAGACGCGCAACACTGTATAGGCTTGATTTTCGTGCTAGAACACTTGTTTATCAGTGGGAATGTAAAGTTGAATAGCACTTAACCATTAACACAAAAGCCACACCACATAAATGGCTTTTAATTGGTTTATTTCATTCGCAAACATGTCACTATAATAAAGTTATTTCCTTTGATCAATGTTCTGCGAAAATAACTAATTGACATGCTTGTTTGCTTTTGCGGCCCCTTTAAATGGTTTAAAAAAAGACCAAGCATTCGATTTATGTCAGAGTGTCCACGAATCTTTCCACGGCCTCGCTGGCCTGACGGCCAGAGCGATATATTTTTTTTTTCCTCCCCCCCGAGCTTTCTATAGTGAATTATCGTGTGTGTGAGTTGAGTATATGCTGAGTTTCGGCTCATTTCTGTTCAGCTCATTTTCTTCTCATAAGTGTACCGAGACATAATGAAAACAATAAGGATGTGTATGAATAAAATGACAAGAGTATTGTAAGTAAAATGATTGTGCTGGTGCCTGTATGTCCTGCTGTAAAGTGTCTCCACACACGCACACAGATATGAGTCTAATGTTAATCTGATAAATGTGTTATTTGTCACGGGCGTGGGTGCAGGCTGAAGAGGACGAGGAGTCAGGATTCAAATAACAACAGTATTTATTCTAAATACAGGACGGAAGACAGGTTTCAGGAACACGCAGGGTAACATTCAACATTGACCGACCATAACTGAATGAAAAAGAGGGAACTAAATACAGGGAGGAATCAAACATAACGATGTGAAGACAGGTGATACTGATGAACAAGACGAGGAACAGGTGGCTGATGAGGGAGTGAGTTCAGGAGTGGAGACAAGAGGATCCTGGGAAGTGTAGTGCTGAAGACAAGACAGGACGGTGCAGACGAAGACTGTGACATTATTAGAGTGAGTGACTTGTAAAGTTATTACTACTTGCATGTTTCAAGTGATAAGCCATATTTAAGGTCATTGACTGATAGGCGAATGTTTGGATTTCATTCAGACTGCCGTTATTGATTTGTCTGTCAAAGCCTGCGTGATAGCTTTTTTTTTCTTCCTGCGACTAACTAATAAAATCGTAGTTGATTATTAGAGGGCAGACCTAATAAATACTGATAATATGATTTAGAACTACAGATTGTAATTGCAGCACACACACTTTTATCATTTCAATAGTTTTTTTTCTGTCCACTTAGGTAAAAGTACCCAGAAGACACCCTGGCAGCAGACAGAGGTCCAGGCGGTGGAAAGGCACATGCAGCGATTCATCACATCGCTCACTGTACCAGCAAAGAGCGACTGTGAAAAGTGCTTGAAAGCTGAACCAGGAGCACTGAAGAACCGTGATTGGAAGAATGTAAAATTTTACATTTATAATCGTATTACAGCTTACAAAAAGAAATTCCAGTGCAAATAATAATAATGTGAACATCATGGCAGGTTTTGTTCAAAGATTTTAAAGGGTTAAAGATGTTTTAAGGTTTACTATCCCTTTAAAACTACAGAAACACTTGTAGGCTATAGAATAATTTTGTTGTTTGCCATATGTTTTATGATGACTGTGATGGCCACCAGTCGGAAAACATTGATCAAACAACATTTCAAATAGAGTGTCATGTTTGCAGTACAGTATGTTTATGATGACCGTGATGACCACCAGTCGGAAAGCATTGGTTGGACAAAGTTAATTTAAAGTCGTAGTTTGTTTAAATTCACATGTATGTGAAAGGAAGCATGTGTGAAAGTTATTTTTTTTTATATACTTTTAATATCAGGACCTTGTTTTTAGGTATGACTTCATTTTGAGTTTTGTGAAGTTGAGTTCAATAAAAGTTGAATTCCGCATTCGTAATGTGAATTAATGTATTGAAGCTCAATTAGTAGTATGTGTCTCAAATAAGTGTCAGGTGAATGAGAAGCAGCTGATGCTTGGAGGAGGTTGACTGAAAAATTACAATAATAGAAAGGATAATTTGTGGGTATGAAATGGGTCACTAGCACCATATGCGGGCCTTACTATATCTCCACATTAAGTAATCAAAGTTGTTCTACTGCATGTTTTAATTCTCCTTGCTTGTAGATTAAACCCATTTTTAAGGGCAAATGGATAAATGAAATCTGAAGATTTACTAGTGTAAATGCCTATTATTTTTCTATCTAGGTCCCCACAAATCAACTGCGAGGTTGTGTGAATTATGCAAATTGGGTCCCCACAAATCGAAAGGGAGGTGTGAATTATGCAAAGTGGGTCCCTATGAGACATGTCCACTCGATTTTTCAAATGTCCCCATTGTGCATGATCAAATCATTACTTCATCAATTCAGATATTTGAAGGCGTGTATAAGTTGTCAAAGTTATGGTAAGTATCCCTAATTTTTTTTATACTTCTAAACCCTTTAGAAAGGGTGGTCCCCACAGGTGATGGTCATAAAGTTGGTCCCCATCCAACATGGAAACCAGTATGTGTGTTCTCTTCAGTGTTGTTTTATTCCGATTCAGCGCTTCGTCTTCAATCCGCAGTGGCGCAGAGCTGAGCGCACGCAGAGGACAGGTTGTGTATGTGTGTGTGTGTGTGTGTGTGTGTGGGTCCTGCAGGCAACCGGGCTTTGGTGCCTGCAGTGAGGGAGTAGTCAGTTGATTAAGATCTTCTTGAAGCTTGCGAAGCCAGGGTTGTAAATGTTTGCGAGATGATGTACATGATGTCAATGGGCAATCTGAATCAGACTCCCCGGTGCCCTACTAATGAGTTATGGACGAAGAGTCAAAGATTAAAGGGATACTCCACTCTTTTTGGAAATAGTCTCATTTTACCACTCCCCCAGAGTTAAACTGTTGAGTTTTACCGTTTCCGAATCATTCAGCCGATTTTCGGATATTTAGAAGAATATCAGTAACCAGACAGTTTCTGGTCTCATTGACTACCATAGTATATATTTTTCCTAGTACGGAAGTCAATAGCTGCGTTTCCACTACCGGGCCAGGGCCGGGCCGTGCTAGTGCGTGCCAGGGCCAGTCGCGTTTCCACTGTCACTTCCGGGGCTTGATCGGGGCTTCCTCAGGGCCAACGGCCAGGATTTCTGGCCCGTCGAATACCTTGGGCCAGAGCGGGCCCGCTCGTGCTAGAGGCGTGCTCAAGGTAAAAGGCGGAGTTTATCGGTGTTATGAAACATTATGATCTGAAGCAAGATGCACATTTCACTTTTTATTAGGGGTAAAATTGCGTAACCGAGTGAAACCTTTTTGCTCGGTTAAGTGGCGTCGATACATATTTGCTCAAAACTTTTGCGTTTTTTTCTGAATGTCAATCAAAAAATATTGTGAAATGACAGCGTTTCCATTAACGATGTTATGCAACTAAAACATCTTTTTTTCTTTCGCGATAAGTCATTCCAAAAATAATGGCAACGGACTTTGGTAGTCTATCACAGCCACCGCACTAACGTTAGACATTATTAATATTTATGGACGTGCGTGTTATCCAAGCATTAATGGCAGGGAAAGAGACAGAGTTCTCCCTCATTTCTGCTCCGCGGTCTTGATTGTGGCATTTCTTTGAGGTTTTGTCTAGTAGGATATTACTTGTATCATTTATGAATTTTAAAAAAGAACTCTGCCTCGTATTATGTCCAAACGGTCTAATTTTGTGTTCATTCGTTCACCAAAATGTTAATTTGAACTGTAGGCCTATGCCAAATGCTGCGCAAAAATATATAGGCTATATATAGGCTAGCCTATATCGACGAATTTTCTGATATTTGTTTGATTTTTTTTCCCCCCCTTTAAACATTTAAAATATTTGACAAATTAATATAAGAAAAATATATATATTTTACTGGTTTTCAGAGGCCAAATTAGCCTGGAAATTATATTTTCCCTGCAGTGCTGAATGAGAAGAGCCGCAACCACAGCCTACAGAAAGGGGATTTATAGGTGATTTATAGGCTATAATAAATGTGTCTGATAATAAAATAATATAAAATAACGAGGCATTAATTGTTTATTAATAAGCTATTATTTTCTAAATCATTTTCGGCTACAAACATATCTCCATCTCCGCATGCACATTTAGAGAGAAATTAATTAGCTACATAATTACATAGTCAGAAGATATTGGCTTTCGATTTCAATTTGTTCGTTTTAAATTGGACGTTTAACACTTTAATCTATAAAGGATATAACCCATGTAGACTAAAGCTTTAAATGTCCAATATAAAACGAACAAACTCGGTTAACGGTTAATGAAAAATTTGAAAACGTGCAGCCCTACTTTTTATATCGCGAAAAAACAAAAAACAAAATCGCTGCTTGAAATGGAGAATCGCCTGTACTGGTCTGTCGAGGATACCAAAGCTCTTCTGAGCATTTGGGCAGAAGAAAGGGTACGACCGTGTGAAGAAACCGTCCCTCACCGTCCCTCTGTTAGTGGCGACTCGCGAGACAATCGGGACACTATTGCAGCCACGGCAGGTGAGTTAATATACATGCTATCTTCCTAATTAAAAAAAAATAAATTAATTCATAAAACCCGCTGAAATGAGTTGGGTTTTATGACGTTTGATCCAGAAAGGCGTGTTAGGGGTGGGGTTTGGGGCAGCGCTGTGGGACTACTGGCCCGGCAGTGGAAACACAAGCCCGGTGCTTGAGGCCCGAGCCCACTAGCTCGGCTCGGCTCGCTGTTAGCTCTGGCCCGGCCCTAGCCCGGCTGTGGAAATGCGGCTAATGAGACCAGAAACTGTCTGGTTACTGATATTTTTCTAAATATCCAAAAATCGGCTGAATTGATTCGAAAATGGTAAAACCCAACTGTTTATCTCTGGGGGTGTGGTAAAATGAGCCTATTTCCAAAAAAAGTGGAGTATCCCTTTAAAAGGTTTTGGGAGGTTTCAGAGGGAAAGTGCACCATCTGTGTTTTGAGGGGTGACCCGTGATTTACCCAGATACGGTACACTGAAGGCATTTCCCCAATGTGTTGATTCTTGACGCAGCATCTGCCCAAGACATTTTCTGAAGGTTCCAAAACAAATTCACTAAGCAAACATACTTCAAAATCCCTGGTAATAACACCACATTTGGCACAAACCAAGTCAATCCCACCCAAAAACTTTTTTGCCCATGATCCCACATTTGTCTGATTAACATTAAAGAGACAGACAGCCTATATATTATGACCTACTGAACCGCATGAATGTAGAATAATGTTACACAGTAGATGTTTTTACCCAACAGTTAAACAAATGTTAATTTAAAACATGACAGATAATGTCTGTGTTAATACTCACCAAGACCGATTTTTGAAATACTGTAATCCTGTGTATGTCGGGATTGAGCAGTCTGAGAGTTTTTGTGTCCCTCAGCGCGAGTAAGATCATTTGTTTACATCAGCATTAGTTTGAAAACACATTTCATTGGTTCAGACTCATGCCATCGAGAATTTACTATGAATATTCTCAAAAGTGGAATGCTGCGCTATAAACAGTATTTCGCATGGATTATTAAAACAAAGGAAATATTTAGGATGGTACAACTTCAAATTTGACCAAAATTAATATTTTTCCTGCACACACACTGAACAAGCTTTTATATATGTCTATATGTAAGTAATATAAAAGTTAAAATATAGTATAATAGTTAAATAAAACTTTGCACTGTCTAGTCTCTCCAGTTTCAACTTCATGGTTTCACAATTTCTCATGTCTATCCTCGAAAACTTGCATTCATTTTTCTTATTAGTGAACCTTTACTCCAACTCATTCACACTGACACTGCCTGTTGATATTATATTAACACATATCTTACCTGGAGTCTCTGTTCTTGATATGGTAGATATCTGAAGCTGTAGTGATATTTAAAGTTCTGCTACTGTGAAAGGGGAGGTGGCCCAGTGGTCATAGCCACTTTGACCTTGAAATGCTTTCTGGCAGTATAAACACATTTTGTGTGAGGTACGGAGTAGAATTTATTAAAATGTTAATTTCAGAAAATTGTATCCAGATCCAATCAGTGAAGTCAGTCACACATATCTCATTCGCAATATATTCATATCTCACACAAACACACACATTCACCCCACCTGGTCCCAAACGGCACACTTCAGCCGGTTTCACAGACAAGGCTTAAGGAATAAAATGCATGTTAAAGCTGTTTTAAATGAAAGCATATCATTTTCTAAGGCATATTAGAATGTTCATCCAGTTCCTGGGTATCCAATGTTACATTTTCTGTCGAATTTGAACCACTGAATTTGTGTAAGCAAATTAGTACAAATAAAATAAAATGGTGCGAAAATTACCTGAATATTTTGAAAGTGAAGTCTGAAAGGTGAATATGGATTAAGTTTTTAATAAGGAAAATGTGTG